TGTCTTTCTTTCCTTCTGTCTTTTATTCTTTCTGTCTTTCTTTCCTTCTGTCTTTTATTCTTTCTGTCTTTCTTTTATTCTTTCTGTCTTTTATTCTTTCACTCTTTTATTCTTTCTGTCTTTCTTTCTGTCTTTTATTCTTTCTGTCTTTTATTCTTTCTGTCTTTTATTCTTTCTGTCTTTCTTTTATTCTTTCTGTCTTTTATTCTTTCACTCTTTCTTTCCTTCTGTCTTTTATTCTTTCTGTCTTTCTTTCTGTCTTTTATTCTTTCTGTCTTTCTAATAAGCATGGTGACCGTCTTGATGTGACGTCACCAGGCAGCCGGTGCTTCGCAGTGGGCGTGGTTTGCTGACGCATTGCGGTTTCCTCCCCGGTGCGTAAACGGAGCGGAGAGGCACGGGCGCGCACGCGTGTGTACGCTGTTGATCCATGTGTGTGTGCGCGTGCACGTGTGCGGAGCAGCTCGCAGCGGTGTGTCTCTTTCACTGAAGCCGGGGCCGAAGCCGAAGCATCCGGGCCGGACCGCGCAGAGATGCGGACACGCAGCCTCAGCTCGTCGCTGGTGTCACGGTGAACGCACCGCTGAGCTCGTTTCTCTGTGGGTTCTAATGGCGGTGTTGAAGTGGAGGTGAGCGGCACCGTTGCTCGGGGGAGTGCGCACTTTTTTCCCCTCGCTGTTTTTCCAGAGGAAGCGACCAAAACAGACAACTTCGCCTTTTGCTCTTTCTTCTCCTGCTGGTTCTTGTACGAGGAGCCATGACGACGGGACAGGATGACAGCTCAGTCCGTGTGGCGCTGAGGTAAGTCCCGACAACATCTCTTCATCTCTATGGGTGTTAATTAGCCGGTACCACCTGTCAGTCAGTGCTGCGGGCCTAGAAGCTCCATCATCTGCTAACACACACACACACCCACACACACTGTCTTTATATTATCAGCCTCACGTCATCTCAGCTGCTCCAGCTCGGCACCTCTTGATGCTTCTCCCTTCCATACAGGACATTGTCCCCTGTCCTCTCTGCATTGTCCTAAAGTGGATGCACAAGTATGTGTCCTTTGCACGGACACAGTCAGTGCACAGGTGTACACACACGTGCCTGGTCGTCTCCACGCTGGCACGCATCAGAGGGGGACGGTACCTTTTCTAAGGGCTGAGCAGTCAGAGGGAGAGACAGAGACAATCGGCCTGTCTCCTCTCCTCTCCTGCAGGGAGACAGTTAGTCGATGAAAGAAGAGCTTCACTTGACAGCCACGTTTCATGGACCGGGCAGTGCAGCTCCTGTAACCCCGTCAGTCTCTTCAGTGTGGACGGTTTGTCTGCAGCCCCTGGCCAGTGATTTAAGCCTCTGAGCAGCCACAAAATCAGGTTTCTGTCCTCCAAGTCCATGCATTTCATAAATGCGTGCTATTGTGTCGAGGTGGGCCACTCCCACCCAGCTGGTGAGGTGGCACAGAGAGGGATGATGGCACATTGTGACACCAGTCTCTCTCTCTCTGTCTCTCTTCGAGGCCATTAAGAGAATATTATTGAAAAAATACAAAATGTTCGCATGCCTCTTGCCTATTTCTCCTCTATGTGTTTTTCCCGAGATGTCCTTCCTTGCTTCTTCTCATTTGTTCCTGATCATCGCTGTCACATGCACTTTCTCACAAAAGTGCATCATCATTGGGTGTGAGGAGCATTTTTGTGCCGAGCTTTCATTTGGTAATTAGAGAAATCTACATTTTGATTTAAGGTTTAGTGTGTAAGATTTTATGAAAGGATCTTTTGGCAGAAATTTAATATAGAATAATCCTCATGATGTTTCACTGTTTCATCTAAATTGTATGAATTGTAGTTTTCTTTACCCCAGAAAAGGCCCTTTATATTTAAATACTTTATATTTACATGGAGGGGACCCTCTCTACGGAGGCCGCCATGTTTTTTACATTAGTCCAGACTGGACCAACTAAACACCTTTTGAGTTTTTATGACAACTGAAGCTACCAGAGGTTCTTTTACGTGTTTGGAAGGAGAGGGTGAGGTGAGGGGTGTTCAGCTGCAACATGCAATTTCAACACTAGATATCACAAAATTCAACACACTGTACCTTTAAATGCAGCTGACATTAGTGGTCTACTTTTGTTATTTGGTAAATGGCTTGTTGTGTTGTTCCAAAGGTAATGTCTTTATGCACATTCTGCATGTGAATGTGCAGAATCTGTTGGCGAGGGACAAACACGTTTTACTTGTATAATAAAATTATCTAGTCGGACTGTAAACAGTGTTTGGAGAATGTAAGGCCTGAAGGTCCAAAACACTCACCCTTGCACGCAGAAGTTATTTTGTTGTCAGACAATAGCTGATGGCCTCCAAGGTTTTCCAAAGGGAGCTAAGCATAGTTAAAGTAAGGCTTTTAATGAACAAAATAATAACTAATCAGGAAATAGCAGATTTAGGTGACATACCCCGATAATCAAAGAGCAAAGGCTCTTCCCTCTTTATGCCCAGAGATGACATTTTGTACGATTTGAAGCTCTGAAGCTGCACAGTCTAAAAAACCCTCTACTGTTAGGACTAAGTAACCAGAGAAATAACAGAATCTCATGTGAGACTATACAATACAACTGTCCTGCGATGAACATAACCACACTGAGAAAGTTCAATTGAGACTCCTGTGGTGTTTTAACCACTTCACTAATGTGATGATGCTGCTGTTGTTGCATTGGACTGTACTTTAGAACACACTCTTGCCAGTAGTGCTGGAAAATGTCCATCACATTTTACTAAGGCCCAATGTGATGTCCTAAAATGTTTTATTTGAACAATATAAATGAAACCAGAAAGTATAAATAGTTCCGAATCTGAAAGCAGAGAATATTTAAAACTGCAACACAAGGGGTCTGTCCATCGAAACAATAACCAAAGACACAGTTTGCTGAATCTGCACAGGATCATTGCTGCTGAAAATCAAGCTGACCACGAATCATGTTCATTTTTGATGGTCAAGTTGTGAGGGACAGTAGTAATCATTACATGTGACCAAAACAAACAGTGGAAGGGAAGAAGATCTGGCTTTCTTACTGGCTAGCAGTGTGTTTTTCTGTCATCATACGTCGTTTCATGGGAAGTTATAGCAGAGACAGAGTCGTGGGTAAAGCGGATATGATGCAAATAAAAGACGAAACTGTAACGTCTTGTAACCTTGAATAAAATTGGGGTTTCTCTGGGTTTCTACAATGTTGGAAACATTTTGGAAAATGTAAGAACACAAGTCAACATAATATATAACATAGGTCCTTTTAGCCATTTCAGTGAAGAATTGTTCCATTTTAAATCTTGTCGTTGCATCTCTATTTGTACCAGTTCATTTTTTTAAACCAGCTGTTAAAGCTAATACAGTCTAACACAACAGCACAGCTATACATCCTCCCTTCATGAAGGTTGTAATGTCCAGTTTTTATTGCAGTTGTTTTAGAGAGGTGTTGCTTCAACTGTACGGTCATTGTGGAGGATATTTGCAGTGCTGATGATTTGTATTGTGTTGTATAGAAAGATTTGTCTGATATTCACACTACAGTTGAAGCAAGATGGACAAATTAGATACAACACCTGTGACACCCAAAGTAGAGGCACAAGTTGCCTGATGAGCAGATTCAACAAAAAACAGAAAATAGTATTCTTCATAAAAGTTGTTTTTCTTTGCTTTAATAAGACTGCTTTAGTTGTGTCAAATAAACTGGCAACTGAGTGGATATTGCAATATAGTATAACACGGCCACAAACTGCTGCCTCAAAACTGATCATTGAGCTGAAGTCTCACCAGTCTGACTCCAGGTCTCTAATTATGTCGAAAGTACACAGGATGTTTGATGTGAAGGTCGAACTGCAAAGCAAACCATGGCCTCTTACGAAAAACTTACAAAAAGTGTATAATTAAGGGTTTAAATGACTTTCACTTTCCAAAAGATTCTTGCAAATTGCAACAAAATGCAACATTCATCCAGTGCGGGGTGGATATTTTGTGTTCAGGAACTAAAGTTACAGCCTCTGATTTTAGCGCACTACATTTCACTTTGTCATATGCGAAAACAAGTCTAAAATAAAAAGCAGTTTATCTGTCTCAGTAAAATGCATGCTGTAATTTAAAGCTTTGGACCTCTACTGATAATCATCTTGAAGTATGTAGGCTCTGACGATGCCTGTAAAACCAGTGTTGTAATTAGTTTACACATTGCTTTTTCTCTGTGAAACCCAATTTGCAGTGGCATCATGTCATAACTGCTACCAACTGGCAAAACACTTCATCAAGACTGTTGACAAGTCTCACCGTGCACGTGTACAACCAGTTCAGATTGGGCGTGACACTTCATTCTCTCAGCTGCCTCAATTCAACATAATCCCAAATAGCTCCCAGATATTTGTGCATGCTTATGCTCCTAGCTACACAGGGGTTTCTGCGTGTCAACAAAAAGCCTCACATGTAAATGGAAAACACGTTTAGCTAATTGTAGAGACCAGCAAATGAATGTTGCTGTTTAAGCCACTAGACCTGATCCCGGATTGCTCATTACCTTGAATAGGGTCGCCTTAAGGACTGAGGTGTTCGGCTGAGGTTGTTGAATCGGTTTAAGACCCTAGCTTATCTTAACAGAGGCCGTCCTGTACTCACAAAGGAACACAGCGGTCAAAACATTTGCTTTAATGTGCCTTTGCGTCAACAGCATGTGTTTACCCATTCACCTGCATGGTCGGTACATTGAGAGAGAGTCTCGCGGTGCACCTCTTCAGCTACAGTATATATGCTGCACTCTAGTCGGCTTATTTGCACAGTGCAGGATGTCACAATGACTGGATTTAAATGGTAGGTGTACGTTGAGGGGAAGGGCTTAGGTGGAACTAGAGACTTGTTGAACCGGCCTGCCGAGGCAATTACTGCATTTCAACAAACACACGGCTACCATTTGCTCTTAAGGTGGTGACAGATGAGCGGCACGGATCAGAGTGTAGCGGAGCAACTTCGACTATGTTTATATCTGCCGCTTTTGCCAAGCTCATTAACCACTAAGGTGAAGCAGCCCACTTCATCAAAAGACACATTTCATCATGGAAATTCAGCCTTTCTTCTTCTCTGTAAGGACTTGTTGATTTCACTTCTCAGCTGAGGGGCATAACAATCATGATAATGAAATTAAATGGGTCCCTAAACCTCTTAAGGCTTAAGTTACAGGCGTACCTTAATGTAATGGCATGGAGGCATGCAGCAACTGGTCTGAATCTCTAAGCCTGTCGCTCCTGAGCCAACTGCAGAGGCAGGGTTAACAGTGGTAGACGAAGCTTGTTAAAATGAGCTGCACAATTAGCGCAGATATCCACTATGACTTAAAGAGCAGAGCAGGCTGTAACTCAGCTGACAGGAGACAACAGCTGACAATAGCTGTGGGGGTTTACAGTGCAAACAGAGGCGAGGGGGCCACTTAGCTGAGAGGATATGTGAGGTGCAGATTAGAAAACTGCTGAAAACATGGTCATATAGGGAATTGTGGCTGTTTTTAAGCAGTCACAAGGAGCAGCTTTTAACTGCATATAGCCATAACATGCATATTTGAAAAAGTTTAGGAAACTAGAGTTCTAGTTTTGAGTTTTATACATGTGAGTAGAAAAACCTGAAGACTTGTCAGGATTTATTTCCAGAGGTTTACGCTTTGAATGTATATACTTAATAGAACATTTCAACAAGGCAATTCATATGGCTTTACATAATTGATATATGAAATGCATCATGACACATTGTAAAAGCAACAGAGACAAAATGATAAA